TGACAATAAACGAGATAAAGACGAATTCATAAAGTGAGTTTAAGGCCATAGCTACTAATAAGTTCCAACTTTTTTTATCATGCTGGGAACTATGATCATATAAATGTATGTTGTTGAAGAGGGATTACTTTGAAGAGAATGGAATAAACATTTAAAATTATATGGTATATACTCATACATTTTTGAAAAATTGCAAACTCCTTGATACTTTTTGATTACATCTAGTTTATACATAGATGTTATCTTCTTTAATGTGGAATCTTCGAATAGTTGGCCATGCGCTTTCATCTCTGTATCGTCCATATATTTTCTTTAGTTGCTCCTAAAGAGAACGCAAAACAAACTATAATAAATACAGTATATAGTATATTTATATATTATAATATATAACACATACATAATATAATATATAATACGAATAAGAGCTGCTATAAATGTTCTGTTTAAGCTTATATTTCGTTACCCATTAAAGTTTGAGGACCTTTTAGTGTGGATGGCAGTAAGATTAATTTAAAATATTAGTTTCTGAGACAAGTATATTCCATATATATGAGGTTACTGGTGGGATATTTAACAGGTCATCTTGGACTGCGTTATCACTTTAACAATATGGGTCTGTCCGAAGAGATAGATTGTCGTCTCTGCTTAGAAGCAGCCTTGACCTGGCCCAGCCTTGATCCTGGCCCAGTCTTGATCTGGGACAGGAGGAGGTCATTGGGTGGAGAACTACTCTGCCCTTCTGACATTAGGAGGTCCTCAATGGCCGACATACTGGCTTTCATTCGGAGAGCGGAATGTGTTCTGCTCCGTTGGGGTCTGATCAATCTGGCCGCAGTGCTCCGCTCCGTTGTGAGCTACTATCTGGTTCATTCCTATTCCTATATCCCAATTTCAACCGAATTTCGTTCTATAGCAGATAGTTAAATTCTGAGTTAAAAACAAATACATTGAAAAATAAAAAGAGGTGAAGATGTTTTAAATGTTTTAATAAAAAAATTTTTCTGCTTTACGTATATCGAAATCCAATCTGACTAACACTAACTCCATTTTTGTCACTCCGCTTATATTTGAAGTACATGCATAGGACAATAACAAAAAGTTGTAGCTGAATTCGGAGTTCACAGGGCTGACTATATTAGGTGGAACCATGTGGCCATACTAATTTTGACGAGGAAGATGAGAATGACTAATGATAGCATATGTTTGAAACGTCTGTTTCAGGAAATTTTTGCTCTGAAGTAATACACATCTGTCGAATGAGCTAAAATTTTTAAAGTATATATTCAAAGTAATTCCAGAATAACAAAAACTCAACGTGCATTGGACATTACTTGGAATAGATTGGGAATTGGACATTCATTTTCGGTCAATTAAATTATAAATAATCTAGGTCCACTTCCGAAATGTATGTGTGTGAAGTTTTATTTGAATAGGTTAAAAAATAGGAGAGTAGCCAGTACTAAAACAGATAGATGAATAGGACTAAATGAACTTTTTATACTTTTTTGTATAAAGATTATAAAAGTCATTATTTTAATATTACCACTCCTACTCCTTTTCATATTTTTCTAATGTCATGAGTCAAAGGAAAATATTTTGCAGGTCTTTAATATGTGCACACCCAAAGGATAAGTAATTTTTTTCCCCAACCCTGAATCCAGACCTACTTTCGACTGCACCCAGACGTATTACTTCTTGTCCAATTTTTTGCTCCTTTTAAGTAAAGGGAGAAACAATGCGTGTTTCATAAAATACATAGAGGATATTCAAACCAATAGGTGTTCTTGGAAAATGCACTTACAATAGTTAAAAAGGAAGTTATCCCTTTGTAGCACGTTTCAATACTAAAAATATTTCTTTGAGTATTAAGCACACAAAACTGAAATAATTTGCCTATCTCTCTTGCAACTAATAGGAACATTTTTTCCTGTAGACAGCTGGTGGATGGCTTTGTTATGTGCCAGCTACGTTCGGACACTCCTTCACTGAGTCATTCAGGAGGTAAAACACATGACTGCTCTACATAAAGTGATTACGAATATTGCATTGTGAAGTATTTTCAAACCTTTTCCACGCAGTTTTATAATTTTTTTCAGATGGATGGGGATTGCATACGCAAAGCTAATTGACATCGCTACACTTACTTTGACTTAAAGCTTTTAGTTTAATGGCTTGCTGCGTTCCTCAAGGGACGCCAGCATGTAATCAAAATATCTATTTGAACTGTTTTTTTCGTTTTCAAAAAACGTTAAAAGAAAATGTTCGAGCTATGGAATAATTTTTTGGGGTTAAAATATTTTGAGGATAGTCAGTAATGTCACTAATGTGTTCTCCAACTTGGTAGAAGATTGACTTTTAATTTCTAGCATTTACCTTAATTACTGGAAAACTATCTTTTATCGAAAGAAAGATAGATGAATGGATGTGAAATGCTGAACAAAAATTAAAATGTGAAAATCTAAGAAATGAAACTTCCTTAGCGGTAATCAAATAACTTATGACAGTTGGTATCAATAATTGAATATGTTGGTTAAAAAGAATAATGTTTTTTTTAGTGAGAATGACAGTGAGCATTTTCCATTTATCCGTTTTTTAAACCACATTAGCTATTTCTTGGCAAGAACCATTATTGCTTTATTACAGAATTTTGATGTTTGTTAATTTTTTCAAAGAATAAGACAAACGATCAACGACAAGCTTCTATCAATACGCAACATAGTGAACCCTTTAATCCTGCGAACGAGGCTGCTTAAAACTCTATAACAGCAAATATTGAGTATTCACGGAAGAACATAAAGAAAGCCATAACTGATACATGTAAAGAAAGACTGTTCACTGAACACCTTAACAAAGCTTCCTTTTTTGATCTTTTTTTTTATTAGGTAAATAATCTCGTTATGTTGCTACTTAACATTTTTTATAATAGCTTTTCCAAACATATTCACATAAACACAAAACCACACATACATATGTTAGTTACACCCAACATTACTTATAATTAATAAAAGAGAAAACACATTCCTCTTAAAATATACTAAGGTTCAGAATAAAAACTGCACCGCGCTGCTTACAAAGCATGCAAATGAAATACATTCACATTGGGACTATGTTCAGTATTGAATAAACAAAAAACATACAAAAAAATATAAAAATAAAAGGGAAAAGAAGCCCCGCAAAATATGTACGTAAAATAATCATAACTCTTAAATTAATGCATGCAAGCGGTTCAATAAAAAAAGTGAACATCCAATGTTCAAGAGAAAGAGAAAGAAAAAAGAAATGACTGAGCGAAAATCGCTTTACATTTTATTAGAGGTTTAGTAGACTAAACTGAACCCCAAGTTCATACAAAACGTGCAAATACAATCAAAGTTACGGTTGCCGTTTTATATGGGCAAATGGTTCAGTAAAAAAACTGAACCACGCATAGTAAATACAAAGTAAAAGAGTAAATGAATGCATGAGAGTTTCTTACTCTTATGTAGAGGTTGGAAATAAACCAAAAACAAAGTCAATATTGCAATTTTATACTAGCAAATGTTAAAATTAAAGAATTTTGAAGTGAAAAATAATATTTAGAAATGGATAAATGTGTGATTAAAGATTTGATTCAAATATCATTTTTTAAACGATCTTCTGAAAAAAAGGTTTTAATTCGTTTTCCTACAGCTATTTACCATAAAAACCAGTGGATCACAGGCTGCGAACATTTAAATAAATTGTTTTGTTGGTCTTGTATGCTATTTGCTTGTGGAAAGGACAAAACTTAGGAGTAGGGGGAATACGTTATAGTCGGAACTCTATTTTGATCAAATTGTGAACACCTTGCCAAAAAGCTGACGATTCGCTACTGAATACAATACATTTTACAACAATTTTAATTGTTCTAAATCGATATTTAAAAGTGTGATTATTTTAATAATCTGTAAAATTTTGTATATATGAAATGCGAATAATGCCAATTCATAATTTAAATTTAATCCCATGTATAAAGTTGTTCACATCACATTTTTGGAATTCGATTTCAACAATTTATTTAGAAGTATGATTATCTCAATTTGGAATACATAGTGAAAAGTTTACACTAGTATACTGTTCAATTTATCTATCCGTCTCGTACTCATATTGTCAAAAAACGCGTTAGTGCACATGTTTTTCGAATGAAAGAAGAGAAGGGATCAAAAAACTAGATTGCACCTGGGACAAGATGAAGCAATAATCAACATATACGATTTCGATATTTTACCCAGACCCTGTAATCAGATACTCCTGATAAAATTTAATCTAATCTAACCTATTAGAATATTTGTTTCAGAAGTTGCACAGAAGATTTCAAGGTTCGCGGTGTCTCTGACTATCATACTAAATTGAAACAGAAGTTAAATTAGTTTATAAACGGTTGCTAGTGCTATTAAGCGTACTCACAATTCGACTATAACTAAGACTTAATCACATATAAGCATTAAATAATAATATTTAAGATAAGTTAGAGCCATGCCCACTCTCCATACAAATAATAGTTTTTTTTTTAAATTGTTGCTTATATTTTTGATTTAATCCGGAATTCATATCAAAGGAAGAGTAAAATAGAAATAGATTTAAGAGTTCTCTAAATTTGAAGATACAAATAACATACCTGTGGGAATAGTTATTGATAAGTCTAGTTGATCCATTAGAATCGTGAGCACATGTAAGAGTTGCATATGCAGCTTTAAATCAAAAAGTATAAATATGCAATTTAATCAAAATGATTTGATTTTTTATTTAAAATACTCTCATAACTCACATATTAGAAATATATAAGTGATATATTGCTGCGTATGTGAGAACCCCGAATGAAAATTTTTTGTGCACGCATATCGATATTGGCAAAATGAAGATAACACAGCCTAAAATTTTACACTCAAACTGAAAATTGAGAGCAAAAATATAATATTAAAATTTTTTCTGTGTAAATATAAACATTTGTTTTCGTCTCAACAGATAAGTGTCCATGAAGTCTTACAAAATCGTGCACCAATGACCTAAAACTGAATATTGTATAAAAGCGTATGAAAAATCCAACGAAAAACAGTCGAGAAGTGCAATCATCAACTAAAATTGATAAATTCTGAATTAAAAATCGTGTACCTGTAAAATAAAAAGAGATAAATATGCTCTATGCGAGACTATTTTTGCTATGTTGTCTGCCATTTGTGGTATCGACATTGACCGTGGTAAAATCACATGAGGATCTCGAAAACGTTGCAAGTACTGAAGACAAACAACTGCGTCATCACCATCCAAATCATTTCGAAAATATAGATTTTTTGCACGAAAATGTGGATTTTAGCTTAGAAGAACCACAACAAATATCAGCTGATAAGGCGTCGAAAATAAATTGGTTGCCCGTTTGGGAGGAAATTGAAATTATAGGGGCTAATGACATACGCCAAGCAGATAGTCTACATACGGAACCACGCTCGAAGCTTAAGACAGCAGTAGAATATACGCCAGATGTGACAGTGGAGAAAGTGGTACATGTACACCATGTACCCGTTGAAATACCGGTACATGCAAATATTTTGGTACAGCAACCTAAACAAGCTAAAGTGGCAGGTAGATCAATGAAGTGGATACTCTTATAAGAAATTTCAATTTATTTATTACGCAATTTTTTTTTGCAGATGAAAATTGTGATGCACCTAATGGACAGGGATTAAAGAATCTACTTAAACAAGCGAAGACATTGATTCCATTCGAACGCATCAGGGCCTTGGTCGCAAATGCTACGGCAAATGACAATGAAGTTCGAGCAGTTAAGAATTTACTTTCTACTAATAAATTTCGTGCTCTCGCAGCTTCACTTCAACAGACAAATGAAGTGAGCGCACTGCGTGATTACTTTTGTAAGGTGCTACACATGGACCTGAGGTATTACCTGAATTTTGTACGTTCGTTGGTCGATTTCAGTGCCGTTAATCAGTTGAACAGTAATAGCACCAGTGATACATTTAGAGGACGTAGAGGTATACGTGGTCTTATACTTGATATATACGATTTATTACCACAACAGCAGTTGATTGATCTCTATGAGAATCTCTTCAATAACGATGAATATCTGGTATTTGCTGTGCGCCGTCTGAATTCTAAAGAATTCCGCCAGTTAGTTAAGAATTTTAAAACTACCAGACAACTGCATGATATGATTACGTTGCTTGAAAATGTGGGCGTACCAATAATGGATGTAAGAGATTTGGTAAATGCTGCTTTGGGTTGGCAAGGTAATGAACCTGGCCGGCCAAACTATAAACTAAAAATTTGATAATCTATTATATATTTGATAAAAAAATATATATTGTGTACATAATACATTAAAAATAATACAACACAAGTATTTAATTACAGAGGTACGTTTCCTCTGGCTTAGACCAGTTAACTTACTTGAGATTCAAGTAATTCAAACAATCTTAAGTAAGCTAACTGTCTGACGAATCCAAGTGTAGTTAGTTAAGTTTCTGGAAGAGTATAACAGTCTCCTCTATAGCACTCATGTAAATTCAGTTGTAGAATATAGTATCTACCGTAATTAATTATCTTGTGTTGTTACTTTAACTATTTTAATTATAATAACATAAAGTAATTAATTTTGGTGTTATTCTTATAAGTGATAACCCAGTGTAAAAATCAAAAAGAAAATACTTTATTTACTATGTACACATTTATTTACTCTCAGTATTCAATATTCATTTGTAAACTTCATTAATATTAAATATAAAATTGAAAATATGTATTCTAAAAATAGTTTGTTTAATTTTAAGATAACATATGACCATCAATATGTCCTTAGAGCTGCATTGTATAATTTTTACTATATTATAAGTATATTAGTTGTTTATATGTACTATATGTAAGTTTTAACAAGAAAGTACCGGGAATCAGTCGATAATATACAATATATGTATTATTCATTAAAATTTATGCTATCGCCTTCCGAAATAATACACTTACTCCATTAGTCCAATCATAAAAACATTTTTTAAACGAATTTTTTGAAATCTATTTCTGCACTCCCCACGAATTCTTTTTTATATCATCTGTCTCGACTGAAAACATGTGTCTCGAAGTAAGAATTGAAGGCGGTTGGAGCCATATCATGAAAGTACGGTGGCTGTTCTATAAGATTTGTTAAGTTTTTGGCTAGAAATACATTCATAATGATAAATACATGATACGTTATCTTATAGTTTGGTTTTTTCAGAAAGTTCAGCTCTTTCTGATCTGAGTAGATAAACAATTGATTATTCACTAGATCAATGATTTTAAGTACTTACAAAAATAGTGGATCAGTGGCTTGGAAACGTAGTACTTTGTATAATGTTGTTGAAATCAAATACATTTTGAATTCGCTCTATAATCACGCTCTATTGGAAGCAAGAAATATTTCAAAATGATTCGATAATGGGCGTCACTAGCGATGACATTTGCAGCTTCTTCTGGTAGCTTGAAAATGCTACCAGTTCATAAACTGAACCAAAGATCACTTTCATTATTTAATTTTCAGAATATAGCATATCTGTTCATTGATAAGGTTATTAATGCAGAAGCTGAACATGGAAGCCCCGATATAGACAATGATCCTGTAAGAATAATGATCTTTACACTTAATTTTTCACTATTTCGAATATTAGTAACTAAGTGGTTGTGAATAACGTCAAATTGACGAATGCAGTGTAAGTGTAACTTAGTAAGTAAATTTTAAAGAGTTTTCGTACTTTTTAATTTACTTAATTTAATTTTACTAAATTAAAATTTACTTAATTTTATGTGTGATATATTATTAAGTTAAGTTTATTTAAAATAACAGAAGCTCTCTTAAAACTTTTAAAGGACTTTCTGACACATAAAAGCTTTTTCGCATGCAATAAATAACTTATGCCAGTGGAAATGACATTATCTTAAAGTTACTTAAGTAACTTTCAAAGTAAGCAGTGGAAAGATGCCGTACGAAGAGCTTTCATATAAATGAGATCATTATAAATAAATCAACTATTTAAGGCGAAAATTATATTTGTGATATGGTTTATATGTTAAATATAACAAACAAGCTACTTCACTTGCATAAATCAGCTTTTACCAATTGAAACGACCACATCTTTATTTCGTTAACATTAGAAACATGGTATTAGAGATAAATTTCCTCTATTGCCATACATTACTCGGGCGTAGGTCTTTGCATAATAATTTTCCCAAACAATTATGTACAAATATGTTAACAAAAGATAACAATAAGAGAGATCACATTTACTACTTTATTGTAAAAAATTAGATCAAGATCCCATCAAACAGGAAAATCAATGAAAATCGTGGTATTAAAATAATACCAAGAATAATTTAATAACCTCTTCACAATGGACAATGGCGTCACTCATAGCTTCCGCTAACCTTATGTCAAGTTCAATTATTCTCATGGTGTACTTTTGCCGTTTTCGGTTGGTAAATCTGGATTCAATCTAGATTTACTCTTGATCTATCAAATTTTATTGTCCAATCGAGCTTTTTTAGAGTAATGTAACATTTTTGTAGAGGTGTTGGTAGACATTTACATATTTCACAAATGCATATATCGAATCAAAACACAGTTTCTCTGTCAAATCATATAAAACAACTGTTAATTTCAGGGTAATCTTGTTACTCTGGCAAAATATTTAGAGTATCATAAATGAATCTCGAGTGTTATACATTTTACCACAGTTTAATCAATCGAATATAAAATTGCACTAAAATTGCATTAAAAGAGCATCTCGATTAAAAAATTACTCTAGATTTAGGAATCGAAAACAGCATTGGTTTTTATTAATGATTAATGGAGGTTCTGGCGATCGAGTCCGGGCATAAGAACAATGATCTCACTTTAAACAGGATTTTTAACAATTTTATTAGCCATATACTAACAATATCACGTCCTGAACATCCAACGATGGATCAAATACTTTCAATCTCTGATTTTAAAACAGAAATTTATCAATGTTACTATGATATATATTAAATTTCTTTGTGTGGGGAATTTCTATTAACAATATTCCATTAAAGTACAATATGTAATAACCGATGAGATGCTGAAGTAATACATTGACGTTGGGTGTTGAAAGAAACTCATACAAGGTCAAAAAGTTCAAAGACGTATGAAGCAAACGTTGATTGCATTTCCAATGACTTCTATATTTTCTGTTGCCTCAAAGCTATCTGTAAAGCTATGTGTAAAGTCTAGGTAGCAAAACTAAGTAGGTGGGCTATGGGGTACTAGTCTGTACAAGTCGCTTCTGTTCAGGGTCACATACGTTGAACTCATGTAACAGGCGTACAGTTAGCACCTTTGCAAGCTAAAACAACAGGCACGCATGTCAATCAAACATTGCGTAAACAAATTGGAGCGCACGAGTTTGTTACATAAAGAAAAAATTCAAAAAAAATATGTTCTTATGTTAAATATTTTTTTTATTGTGTAAATAAGTGTTCCATATACGCTCACAATTCAGTTTGTTGTGTAAAATTTGTTTAGCATAGAAAAGGTTTTTCTCAGAAGTGCTGTAATGTTGTCATGTCGGTACTAGAAACCCGAAAAGAAAACATTTGAGCTTTACATTTGCATCAGATTTTCATAGTTCATTATCAGATCAAAGCTTACATATACACATATTCTGAGACGATGTACTTAGTATCTTCGTTAGGGGGAATTTCGTTACTTCATAGAAAAAGAGTACGAAACAAGATTCGCTACAACAAATAGTGACACTAAAATCAAAACATACAATACATGTAACATTAATATATATTAATATATATTATTTTCTTTTACTTAATATATTTAATTATATATTTTTTCAATGTATGTGCTTATGAGTACATAAAATAGAGTTTATGTGCCGCGCATTCAAGAAGTCTACATATTCTTTAAATTTGCTCTATTCAGGCTGCCAAGAGTTTATTAGGCAAGATCTTATCGATTAAACAGAAATGCTTTTAAAAATTGTGCAACTTCTTAGCACTTAAAGAAGAATCAATTTCAAATCGTCTATTTGCAGATCAAAGGTAAGCCAGATCACTTATGTATTTGTAATGCAATCTCAGAACTTATGAAGAGCACTTCTTAAAATAGAATATTAGAAACAACAAGTTGAAAATTATTACAAATAATGAGTTTGTAATAAAGATAAATTATTAGGTCATTGCTTTAATCGGCTGAAAACAACTACTAAATACATTAACATACGAATATATTGAGTAACTAGTAAACAATGCCTTCATAGTCTTCACATTTACAAAGATATGTTACAAATAATATAGGAACTTTAGTTATAATACCGTGTTTAGTGTAGCTGACGTACACTGCAGCCCAATTAAACTGATAGCTACCTAAAACTGTTATAAGAAGTTACAATACTGGGTCCACAACTGTTTTTCTTTACAAGTGTGCGCAGGGATTTACGTCTCAGTTTTCTGAAAATGTCTTAACGAAGTTTAAAGGTATGGTAACCCTATATTTGATGGGAGAATCAACAGTGGCTATTATTAAAGCCCTCTAACACTTAACTATATATAAATAAATCGTTCGTAACTTTAACTATAATATTTAAACCGGGAACCACGAGTGACACTCAAGCACCCAAAAATTTCAATGTGAACAATTCTTACATTTCTCGAACCATGTTCTGTTTGAACAAAAGTGGTGATGGTGCAAAATGCTATCTCTGGTAACGATTGAGAAAAATTATATATGCGACAAAGCTGTAGCTTTTCAAATAATAAAATGATTTATTTACTTAATAGAGAAGAGTGCAAGAGAGAGAGAGAGAGAGAGAGAGATATAGATATAGATATAGATAAGTTGCTAGTAGAAGCTCGTCGTGTAGAAATACCGAAAATGTAATCATTTGATTAAGCACAGACGTTTAGATCAGAGATTGGATTTAAGAACGAGTTGGGAACTTGTCACCACATCACTGCATCCTTTAAGGATTATTGTGACACACCGAGAAGCAGTTAGGTCCATAAGCGAGAAGCAGTTAAAAACGCCATTATGTCCTTTGGAGAGATGCTACCTAATTCCGTTATAAGTGGATAGGCAGTTGATAAGTAAAGAAGTCTATTGGCTCAGTTAGACGGTAGGTGACGTAAGAATTCAATTCGAAGCGAAATTCAAAACCAATCAAACCTGCGTATTTGAGAGGAACACAATATACAAAAATGGTGTACTTTGTCGCTTTGAATTAATTTCTAGGTATTATCACAGAAGTTTATGACCATTTGAATGGTTGTGACAGTTAACGGTCGCATTACATTGCAAGGAAGCGATAGACAGATTAATCTATGGTCATGAATCGTGTGGATTTTTGGCATAAGGACATAGAGGAAAATGAAAACATTGACGATGTGGCTAAAATTGGTACCAACTTTCACAAAAAAAAAAAAAACAAAAAGCGAGGTAGTTAAGCGGTTATACATATAGATAAGTAAATAAATACGTGTTAAAGAAAAATTAAAGACAAGTGGATATAATTATGTACAATCACACATTCAATAAAAAACACATAAAATTTGTGTTGTTGGTTAATGGCAAGAGCTATAGATTGTTAGGCAGTGTTTTAAC